AGGCTGATGTGCACCAATAATGCATGGAATTCTTCCTGGCATGCTGAAAGCACCAGACAACATTCTGACCAAGGGTTGCTTGCAGCTAACATAATGAAGAAAGACTATTAGCTTATAGAGCACTTAGTGAACAAGATGCTTTACGGTCATTCCCTCATTTATAGCTCCCTAACCACCCTGGAATATAGACCAGTGAGTTGCCTTTCATTTTTTTCAGACCAAGAATATACATTTCAACTATTTTGCAAGTATGTCTACCAATCATTTTTACTAGCCCTGTCTGTGTTAAGCTGTATGTGGCTTCAAAAAAAGTCCTAGGCTAGAAAGGGAAAGAGGGCAATACTTTTCCTAAAGCTTCCTGGCTGCTCACCTTCAGGTGAACCAGGTGGTCTGTTTCAAAGGTTAGTGTAAAAAGCAATGTGGATTGGTTAAAAAAAAAAAGAATAAGGCTAATCCATTATGGTTTCCAACACCTAACTTTGTTGGGCTCAAGAGTGGAAGGAAGAATTCAAATTTTGTGATATGCTGTTCACATATGGTTTTTGCTATAATCTACCAGAAAATCCTAGCCATTTTACTCAGAAGCAAGCCCTATTGAGGTTTGATTACTGTCAGTGTGAAAGATAACCCTTCTCTTCCAGTGGAAAAAACTGAGGAACTACCACAAAAAATCTTTAGCACAAATCTACATTCCGCCTTTGTAAGCAACAGCAAACTCAAGGTGACTTACAGCAATTTTAAATGAACAATATAAGAAAAACTATTGAATACCCAGTAAAACAGGGAGCCACAGTAGAGAGAGCAGAAGTTGTAAAAACAGGCCATTTTAAATGTTCCTAAATAAATAACACCCTTTAAAATAAAACTGTCAGTGAGAGGGGCCACATTTATCATTCTTTTGGCCTTGCCAAAAAGTGGGAAAAAGGCATAGGGAGAACTTAATGAAGTCCACATGCTTCACCTCAGTTTGAGGCAAATCATGTCCCCACATCTATCTTTTAAAGCAGGAGAGGAGTATAAAACAGGAGGTAAGGATGAGCCTGTTGCCATAGAAAGCAAGGGAGCCTGCTCCCTTTTGTTCCCCAGTCAATGCTAAACATGTGTTGATCTGGACAGGCCTGAGGAATCAATGTTGTGTGGGAGAACACAGAGAGGTTCAGCAGGAAGCCCCCGGAGGAAAGGAGGAAGACCCCAAATCATACCTCCCCATAGCCTCTTAATACTAGCAAAGGGAGCCTAGCACTTGATCAGACCAGTCACAGTAACTCTAGAATAAGGGCCATGGGTTTGTGGCGATAAAATAGCCCTCCCGCCTGCACCAAAAGCTTCTAGAGCCCAGGTATACTGGAATTTCTCAGGATTCCATATTCTGGATTCATGTTGGTATGTTGTCAGGTTCTCATCTTATACACTCATGACTTGGGAAGAATGTCAGAGATCTTCTAGTTCATGTCCTTGCTGAATGTAGGAACCATGTACCTGCTGTAGTGTCTATGTAAGGGTCCAGGATGTGGCAGCAAGTTAAACTTGTGAACACCAGGACACAGACACCTTAATCCCAAGTATTAACCAATGTCCAAATCTCAATTCCAAGCCAATAGGAGGCAAGCACAAACCAGGAGTCAAGAGCCAGGAAGTTCACACAGAGAGAGTACCTTCGGAGCATGAGTAGAAGCCAGGCCCAGAGGCAGGGACAGCAGCCAAGGATTCATAGCAGGGTCCACTGCCAAGGTTTCAAATAGCAGCAGGAAGCACCACAAGTCAGGAAACCTTCATTGTTGAGGCAGCTTCTGGAGGGAAGATCCAGTTCTTATGTAGCTCCACCCTCACCCCAGCTGATGCTTGTAAGGGCCCTGATAGCTGCAATAGGCTGTGGGTCTAATCCTGCAACTGCCAGGGCTGTTATTCTGGGCTTTGGCCAGAAGAGGGAGCCCTGAAGTTGCCTCAAATCCTGACAGTCTGTGAGAGAAGGCCGTCCATCCTCTGCCTAAATACCTCTAACAAAGGAAACCACACCAGTTCCCAAGGTAAAATTACATTGTCAAACCATTTTTAAGGTGTTTCTATTAAAGTTTAGCCAAAGTCTTCTTTCTTGCAGTTTTCACCCATTGGTTCTAATCTTGCTGTTGGAACAGTAGAGATCAAGCCTGGTCCATCTTCGTGTGATCTCAGACATTCCATAAGACATAGGGATGGCTAGCAGAATGAGAATGACAAAGTCCAGGAGGAAAAGGGTACCAATGGCTACTATAACTACAGGCAGTCCCCCTGGGTTACGAAAGAGGCCCATTGGAAATTCATTAAGTCAAATTTGTGTGCAAGTCAGATCACGTGTAGTTGGTCCTCCACATTTGTGGCAGCTAGGGTTACAGGACTACCATGAATGTGGAAAAAACGTGAATATCTCTAGGTCCTCCCTACTGCTCAAACTCACCAGTGCCGCCTCTTTGCAGCTAGGAAATGCTGGAGAGATTTCCCTCTCTGGATAGGTGAGGCAGGAAGGCTTGCTTTGGAGCTCCCCTCTCTACTTTCACTCTCTCTATGATGATGGCATTCTGCAGTACATATTTTTAAAATTAATAGACTTTATCACAGTTCATAAGTACAGGTTGTTTGTAACTCAGACAGGACCTGAGATCTGCATGTGAAGCATGGACTGTACCACAAAGCTCTTCATTAAATGACAACTGAAAAATTAATCACTGTGTGTAGCAACACTGTGTCAATCCAGATTTCAGTTTGGCTCACCAAATGGCTGCTGGACACTGCCCAGTGCAAGCTTTCATATTTTACTCATCCTTGGAAAGTTCATCTCTACTGCTGTTGCCACTTCCTCCACTTTCTCATCATTGCCATCACCTGCTCGTTTGACAGGCCAGGAAACAAGTAGGCAGCAGTGCCAACTGCTCCTCCTGCTCACTGTCTCCACGGCCTGGATCAGAACAAGGGCTGGTGAAAAAGCAGAGTGCACAGGTGAGGAGGAGCCAGTCAGGGGCTCTTGCCAGTAGGACTGCTGAACCATGTGCCCTTCGCAGGTGTCCAGCCATGCCTTCTGTTGATGCCAGCCTAGCGGTAAGTCGCCACTTGATAAAATGGACATCTGTTTTCAGCCAAGAGAGGAAACCCAGCGTTGAGCAGTTCAGCAATGACAGCGATCTTAAAATGGGACCAGAGCCAGAGGTGCCTCCTTGTTGAACTGTGTAATTCCTTCGTTTAAGCTCTAACTAGTAATGAGAGGGATCCTTGCGGCACTTTCATTAGAAGGAAGCACCCTCAGCACCGAGGCAATGGCAAGGTCCAGGTCAGTATGAGATGCAAAGGGAAAGTAACAAAGGGGAACACAACACCTATTAAAATCGCACTGGTTTCCAATTTATTCTGGAACAGTTGAAGGCGCTAATTGTAGTCATTTAAAACCCAGCCTATTTAAAATGCCCAGCCCTTGGCTGCCTAAAGGACCATCTTCCCCCATATGAGAATGCCTGCTGTATATAATATTCAGGGCAACCTCTGCTTTTCATTCCTTTGGCTGCGAGGCACAAATTTGTGGGTAACAGGAAAGGACCACTTCTAGGTTTTGGAACTTAGACTTTTCTACAACCCCAGCTTTCTGCCTTTTAGCCAACACGTTTCTGTCCTAACAGGCATTTGACATTCCAGGATGCAGAGCTGTTAAACAAACTGGATCCTTTGTTACCAAACTGTTTTTTATCTGCTGTTCCCATCTCCAGTTTTTATTGTATTATAATTTTTAAATGTTGCAAGTCTTTTTGCTGGGAGCTGCCCTGATCACTGCAATCATAATGGAATGACAGGATATCTGTTTCCTTAAATAAATAAGAAACAAACCAGGGATCTCAGGTTACCATCTGAAGACAGAATATGAATCTCTGTGTTGTCTCTCTTCCAACTCTGTTTCATAGCAGTTTGATGTTATCTCCCTTCCAAATTAATTAGTTCAGAATTTGAAACCTTACGATACAAAGAACAATTGGAAGTATTCCTGGAATCAATAGTATATCTAGTGTTGAAAAGGCTGGAAATTCACTGTATGTTGATGTATTAAAGACCAACATCCACATTTGGTTATTTTGAAGACATGTATCAAACTTGTCACTAAATGAATCCAACATGATAGTAGGAAACCAAGAAAAGATGCCAGTTACAGATAACTGAATCCAGAATGAAGACAGAGCAGGGATCACAGGTGGATTAAAAAGGGTGGGAAGAGTAGAAATGGAAATTATCTGCTCAAACTTGCATAGATTTTTTTATCCGACTATCAGTTGGGGAAAATGTTTTTTTTATCTAAGGGTCAAACTGGATGCAATGCAATCTGAAATATTTGTTATTCATGAACTACCATCCCTGTGGGCTCTATTTTTTATATTAAATGGTACACAGTAGTAAGGGGTACTAACCCATGTTCCATTTTAGCAGGCATATTTGTTCTAGCCCAGCTCTGGCATTAGAAGTCAGAGAGACTGAAAGAAATAGGACTAAGCATAGGGAAGTAACAAAAGACAAGCAACAGCTTGGCTCCCCTCCCATGTTATTCCCTTTAAATCTAACAGATCCCCACTCTAGCTTTGTAAATGGATCAGGCAACCACAGGGTTAAAAAAAGACAACCACCATGTCTATCCTGTCTAGCTTGGACCATATTGGGAGGGATCTCAAGAGACATATTCTGTTCTATAGAAGAAAGTCTAGCATGCAGTCAATTTTACACACAGATCCGCTACCCCTGCCCCCCCAGTTAAACATTCTCTAACACATTAAGATTACTGAAGATTTGAATAAATTGATTTACAAATGGCACAGAGGAATAATAAATTGAGATTACAACAATTCTTGTAAGAGGGGTGAGTCTGATAAACCTATTATGTTCATATCAAGTGCAACACAGAAGGAGCCCTGCAATGGAAAGAGAAGGATGGAAGGACATCCTTCCATCCAGAGGGATGGAAAGAGAAGTATAAGGTGAATCAGTAACATAACTTCAACTGCATGATATGTTTTATTTGAAAATTCAGACAGGAACCCTGAGTTACCAGCCACAGAAATCAGTTAAGTTTAGAAAAGGAAAAAGAAAGCAAAGCTGATTTTTTGCTTTATGTTTCATGAGGCTCTGGATTGTGCTATCTGACAGAGATTTTAAAAACAAAACAAAGCAACCCCCACCTAGAAAACCTCACATCATCAATGTGGGAAAATAGCCTTCTTAGAAGGCCATTGCACATTCAAAAGCTAGATACAATCTGGCATAGGTCAAGGATATAGAAAAAGAGTAGTAATTCCAGCCCTGTAGGGCCTGGGTGTCTTGGAGAGCGTGCTGTCCAAAGCAGGAGTGGAAAAAGAGAAGAAAGAGTGGATCAAAATCCTCTTGGATGGCAGCCACACAGCCTGGAGGATGGGGGAACAGGATGCCAAAGAAGCTTGTGCACACAGGAACTCTGAGAGAGTCTGCACAAACAGAGGAGGAAGAGACCCCCCCTCCTGAAAAGAACCCCTCCACTTAAGGGATCTTCACAAGAGAACGAGAAAACGTTGTTCCAGCTGCACCAGGTTTCCATTGCAGGGCATCTGCTTGTCCAAGGCTTGGCTGCTCTCGGCCGGAGGAGAGTGGTTGTCCCACAGGCAGCAAGCCATGGGTTGCTGCACGTTCTGCTTCTCAGAGTCACCTGTACAGATCCCTTTACAAACAGTCTTGCTGTACACTTAAAACAAAAACAAAGCGAAAAGAGAAATCCATGGGGAGAACAAGAGCTTGTCTTTCTGAAGGCACTTGGCCCTGATGTGCATTTGAGGAAGTGCCTCAAAGTAGACTTCTTGCTGGGGCGACATTTTCTTGCTTCCCGGGAGGTCCTGGGGAACTTGTGCAGTCAAGGGAAGCAGTGTGGGGATAAGTGGGGAGCACCCATCATTCCCAAGTCACAGTGAAGTAGATGGGAGCTTCTTGACCCGCCTCTGTGCCAGGAAAGAGGACTCAATGGGCTTCAGCTGTGGGCTTGGTTTGGAGTTATTCAGTGCAGAGTATGTGGCTGCCATCGCACCCTGGGGAGAGAGAATGACAGGGGTTTGCTTAGAAACCTGCACACAGACGGGCAAGCAGCCCCACCCACAAGCAAACCAAGGGCCTGCAAGAAAGCCAAACCAAGCAAGGGCCATGTCACAAACTGCTTTTTAGATCTCTCTCTGAAAAAAGAATGTAGGAACACAGACAATATCTGTTTGCAGACACTTGCATCTCTCAGGTATGCTTCTCAGTCAAAATCTGCTACAGTTTCCCTCCAAAGCTACTTCTGGAAGCAAGCCCATGCTACTGGTAAAACTACCCTGAAGTCCAGGCTCTTTCAGAGAGTCCAGCAGCAGTTATTCCACAGGGCCTTTCCCTGTGCACAGTGTCCTCAGAGCGATGCAGCTTGTGCTCCTGAATCCTTCCTCTGCCTAGCTGTTTGCCTCTTGCGAGGAGAGACGGGCTGGGTTCACATGTCACAGCAAGCAATCCGGTGTGATTTACACACTATGCATGTTTTTTGCATGGATGAGCCTGGAAGATGATGGGGCTCGGCACTGTGATTCTCCTCCCATCTGCCGATTTCTTCTCTCTCAGTCCTCCACGCAGTATCCCAGGAGGCACTGTGGGGAGGAATGAGGCCCTTCACTTTGGCAGGGGTGATCCCTGGCCAGGTATGCCTTGCCATGGCCATTAAGCAGTTTGTTGTGAAAACGGTTCAGGTTCCAACATGCAGCAGAGAGGACAAGAAGCTGGTCAGGCACCCTCCCCTCCGCTCCAGAGGGGTCAGCTGGAGCAGGAAGAGGGTGCCTGACCCATGCTCAGGCGAGAGGGAGGCATCAGCTGGGCAGCACTGCAGAAAGCCCCCCTCCCCCGCCTGAGCAAAGCCCCTGCTGCACTTGGCAGCAAGGGATAAAAGGCAGCTGGGCCATGGCAGATTCCCCAGTGCCCCCCATCCCGGCCACCAAAGTGAAGCAACTTGTGTGAGCCAGAGGTGGAGGTGAGAATCTGCTGGGCAGCACTGTGGAAAGGAGCAGCCCTGCTCGACTGATCCCCCTTTGCTCCTTCCATACGTGCCAGAGTGAAGCTCCTCGTTGCACGAGAGAGCCAGTGGCAGCACAAGTGGGTCCTGATGTGGGAACACCTCTGGCAAGCCAGAGAGTGAAGGGCTGCAGGACCTGGTGCGGCGTGCAGCCTCCAAACAGGTGCCACTGCCCAGCTACTTTTCCCCCTCCTGCTGGCTTGTTTCTGTGGGTGACGTGCTTCAAATCTGGTCATTTAATAGCAGGAATATAGTACACCTGTTCTACAATAGTTGTACTATTCGGTGATAGTTTGGATTGAAACACTCTTAAATGGCTTGGCTCTGGCATAACTCATACTTAAACAGTTTGCGATAGTTCTTGTTCCAGAATTCTATCTTGTACGGGCAACTGACAAAGTCCACTGGCAGCAGAACCTCCTCACACAGTTACCCTAATAATTGGGAATGCTTTCCTCCAGTGTTGGTTGCCGGAGAATTTAGAGAGAAGAGCTGCTTGGTAAAAGGAATAATGACAGTTGTTGCTTCTATGAATGCTGATTTTACTGCAATATTGTCCAGTGGTTTTCATGCTTTATTGCTTCTTGCTGTAGTTTGGTTAGTCATCAATATGCTATTCAAACCCCAGTGAAAAAGTCCGTGGGACCCACCTGGCAATGTAGCTCACTGTCATCTACTTTGACATTGTCTGTCCAGGATCTCTGGCAGAAAAGAATCTCTCCCATCAATTGCTCCCCAAGATCCTCTTTGATCTGGGGTTGCTAAGGATTGTACCCTGGCTTTCTACCTGGGGAACATGTGCTCCACCATGGAGCTATGGTCCCTGACCAAATTTTTTTCCTGTTTTTCCCCTCATTCATCAAGGGAGGTTGGGAGAAGGTTAGGGCAATTAGATGTGGCAAAAACAGCACCCTGCTCTTTTGGAGGGTACTTCTGGAACAGGGAAAGCAGAGTCTAAATGAGCAAGATCCTCAATGCTGCATTTCTCCAGGGGCAGAAGGCTGGGGGTGGGGGGAGCACATGCTGCCAGAGTCAAGGTAGCATCTCTGACCGGAGGGCGCAAGAAGCACGCCAACCACCCTTTCATTCATACCTTTACAAGCTGGACATCCTGGTGACTCAGCTGGCTCTGTGGTAGCCTCTCCTTCTGTGTTATCCATGGGTGCTGGAGGACTTGCCTGGCAGTCAGGCGCTGATGAGGATCAACATGCAGCATTTTTGATACCAGGTCCTGCAATCAGAGAATACAGCTATTGTATGCCTTTTTTATATGGAAAGTTGCTGGCTGGACTGAAGGTGGTACTGCTTTTTTGAAAGGTCTTGGCGCTACTTCCTTGCAGCTTGCTCTCAAAATCGCTTCAGTTGTTTGGGAATGAATGTGCTTTGACAGCCATACCAGCCTTTCCTGGTGATATTGCTAACGACTTTATAAGTGTTTCCAGACAAGGCTTTTACTGTACAATTGCACTGCCTCATCTATGTAACGCTATGGGAGATCTGGCTGCCAACATCTTCTATTTGTAGCAGAATCTCAGGAAGAGGTGAAGCTGGGCTTCCTTTGGTTGTGTGCCTTGCCTCCTCTTTCCTAATTAGAGTCCTGGGCCAGCTTCCGTAACCGATGCTCAGCACCCTGGGCATATATTAGGGCTGCGACATTTGTGGTGCGTGGGGTAGAGTGCATTGCCAATGCTAAAAATTCTTTTTTCTCCTGGAGCTTGAGTGTCAAGCCACTTCCAGTGACCATTTTGGCTTTCCCAGTGCCTGGACATTGAGTCAATCCCAAGCATTGTGTGGGAAAAAATACCTGCTATAAGAGAAACAAAACCACACAACCATTGTCGCCAAAACATGCAAATCCACAGGTCCAATATTTTGTAAAATGTTAGCCGTCTAGCATATGTATCCAGTGGGCAAAGGAAAATTGATTTCATTGCTGTGAGTGTGGCCAGGTGACTGTTTATGCACAAATCAAAATTAATTCATGTATGCTTTGTGCCAAATCACAGCCCACATTCCTTTGCAAAAGGCTTGCAAAGCGCTGCATTCAGGATTCAGCATTAACAGTCATAATTTTAAGTCTGCCGGTTCTACAAAAGGTGCTCAGTCACACAACACCCTTTCCTGAGACTGTATGTTGTATTTTGCAGGGTCTGGATTTGGAGGCCAAAGAGGAAAGAAGCAGCAGAAACCGAAATTAGGGCCGGAGGAAGTATAGCATCAAGGCAACGCAAAGGGATGCCTCAGGGGCCATTCACGGACTTTGATCCTCAGACTTAAAAATCCTGCCCAAAAATCTTTCTAACCATAACATTTGAAAGGGAAAAAAGTAATCAACTCTGAGGAACCCAAATTATGCCACAGGTGGCCCTCCAGGTGTTGCTGGATTACAGCTTCAGTCACCATTGCCCATCTGGCTGGAGCTGATGGGAGCTGGAGTCAAACAATATTTGCAGGGTCAAATGTTCCCCATCCTTGTTGTGCAGATTATGGTAACAGCAATTGCAAAGGGCACAAGTCATCTTTCGGGGGAACTGGAGCTCTTTCCTTTGGAAAACTGTTGAGCCTTGTGATGTAGTGAGCCCTGGCCTTTGCCAGTTCCAGGAAAACTGAAGTTGGGCGAAGCCAGCATGGTGTGGTTGTTACTTCGGAGATCCAGTTTCTACTCTCACTTGCTTATGAGGCTCACTTTGGACCAGTCACTGACTCTCAGCTTAACCTACCTCATAAGATTGTTGTCAGGATAAAACGGAGAGGAAAGGATCGTGTAAGCTACCTTGCATTTCTTGCCAGAGGAAAAAAGGCAGCATGTAAATGTAATAATAAAGAAAGCACTAAATCTTACCTTGGCTGCGTCAGAAACTGTGTCCCAATTTCCCCCTCGAAGGGAAAATTTCCCCCCACCTATCCGAATAAGGATCTCCTCAGGCGTGTCATTGGGCCCATTTGCAAATGGCGTGTACCTGTGAGAAGAAGTTGGTTTTGGCTTGTTTTCTTTAAATTGTGGTGCTAGAATATTAGATGGAAAGGAGGGACGGAAGTGGCAGTAGCAGGAAGCAGGTGAGGGAGAAGGGAGGATGGGCCTGAGGACCACAAGTGAGGAAAAAGAAAAAATCACCCTTCAGCTCCTGTCCCTCCTGCAGGCACACCTAGCAAGGAAACCATGAAATCGCTACTCGAGTCTTTCGCAAACCCAACTTTCACTTTTATGTTTCTCCATGCAAGCCTTTCTTTAAAAACAAAACTCTCTTCAAGCATGAGGGTTCTCAGCGAGACTGTGCTAGCAGATTTCATAATTCATATAATTACGAGCGTGCTATAAGCCTGTGTCCTATTATAATGCTGAATCATAAAGTCTAGTCAGTTAATGATTGGTTGAAAATCAGAAATTTTGACGCAGGGCAAAGGGTTGGCCTGAATGACCTTTAGGTTCATTAACTGCCATTCCTGTCATTAACACTGATGAGTAGGTTTGTACATCACACTATGCCACCCCGCAAACGAGTCATGGTGGGTTGTTTGCTGAACAACCCATGATGCACCCGACACATAATCTGGGTCACCATGGCTTGTTCTCTACCCCCCTCCAACTGCCTCCAACACGTATCCCAGTGTCCTTAATGGCAGAACCCGACTTGTCTCCCCTCACACAGTTGCCAACCATTAATTGAAGGGCAGTGGTAGATGGGGATAAACAGGGCACAAAACAGGGTGGCAACAGTGTTGGAGGAGACCTTATAACCCACTTAACCATCAAATCCTCTGCCTCTTTAAGTAATAAACGGACTGTTCTTGGTACCTTCCACCTTCTCAACACCTCCTCAAACCTCCAGAAAGGGGAGATCCCACTCCACACCCATGTACATGGCTCCTTCTCAAAGCACTTGCTTCTTCCTAGCCCCATTGGGAACACCCTCCGACCCCACACTCTTCCTCCTAACATGGATACTCCCAAGAAACACCAGGAAGAACTCGGATGCCAATTCAAAGAAAACAGCACCATCTAATGGCAAGACCCATTCTGGTCCACCCTGCCCAAGGGCGTCCACGGTGTGCCTGCTGTCATGTTTCCATGGGAGAGGATATACTTCAGCTGGGCTTGTTTTTGGAACTGCTGGGCTAGAGCTGGATGGAACATGACCCCACAGAAGTAAAGCCAGTCTAGGTCAGGTCACTGCTGGGAACCTGAAGTCCTACCCTTACTCTGGAAACTTAGGATTACTGCAATGCCCCATACATGGGTTTGCCTTTGAAAACAGTTCAGAAGCCATTTTCAGAAATGGCAGCTCCAAATCCTAGAATGGCTGAAGTATCATATTAAATCAATGCTTTGTTCTCAGACATTAGTTTTTGGTCAGTTTCCAGCCCAAGTGGATCAACAGGGTCTAAAGCCCTCCCATTCCCTAATACACTAGCAGAACGGGAAGGGGGATGCCAGTCCTTGGGGGGCACAGATTACATCCCTTCCACTGAAATGAATGGGAAAAATTCATTTTAAAATGAATCCTCCTGCAAAGGGAAAATAATGGGAAAATGCCCACATTTTGCTCTGATGTGCAGCCTGGCAGGACCCAGGAAAAAGTAGCTTCTCTGCCTTGGATTCTCTTTCTCCTGCCTCACAGAACAGCCCTGCCTACTACTGAAATTAGGCACAGCTATGTAAGAATTGCAGAATGCAATCACCATCTTTAGAAGAGGCATTCCTTTTCTCACAGGAGGGAATGCCTCTTATTAAAATAAGAAACGTATCTGCTGCATCTATAACATCATCAATTTATGCTTCTTGCTTGAGAAAGGTGGTTTTTCTTCACAGACAGATCCAAAGATCAACAGATCTATCGGTGAAATCAACTGAAACCCATATGATGAGATGCAGATATAACAAACAAACAAACACCTTTAACCACACAAGAGGGTGCTGGCACCTACCCAGCCAACATTGTGTACAAGAGGATTCCTAAGCTCCAAATATCACAGCCTTCATCATAGCCTTGGCGTTTCAGAACCTAAATGAGACAACAACAAAGAAAAATAAACATGAAGGAGTATCAGTATCAGCCCTGGAATGAATGGTCTAAACATCTGACAAAAACTGTGGAAAGCTAGGCTGGGAGTTGCAATCCTAACCTCTCATAATTGAGAAAAAGAGAGAGAAAGGCTGTGAAGACAAATTTAATGCGTGAGTTTTTTTGCTCTTACTGATTTATTATCAAGTGTCCCAACAAGAAGCTTGAAAGCACACACAAACCCTCATTCAGAGATGTTTAGGCATGTGTGCAGCACCACGTAGCCTCAGAGAACAATTTACCATTCTGCGCAGTCGGATCGAAGGACCAGTTCACACTTGGCTGCCGATGCGTCAGTGGCAGGTGTGGCAGAGCCAACGCCTGCCCACCATCACTGGCGCATCTGGAGCCCACAAGCCCAGACACGGCACTCCGGTTGCACTGGCCAGGCAAAGCATGCCATCATCAGGGAACAGCCTGAACTGAAGAAGTATAAATCTGCCATAGTATTTCTCTGCAACAGATGATCTAATCAAATGTTTTCTAGGCTGACAGGATTTAGTGAAATTGGCTGTTTACTGAAAAATCAACCCCAGGAATCAGACTGTGTGGGAACTTCTTTAGTGGCTGACTCAAGTTTTGGACTACATTATTATTTCAGTCCCTCCCTGCTGGAGTATCTGAATATGATCCTATTCCTTGTGGGCCTTGCCTTTGTCAGTACTGCTGTTTCCGTAAGACTTGCTGAGAGGGAGGTTGTGCAAGCCAGGAAAAACTGATCAAGATCTACTGATAGTGATTCGCAGTAAACCAGAAAGGAATACTGACTTCCAGTAATTTAATGCTTGCAAAAAAATGGAACATTAATAAGAATCTAACATGTTTGGCTTTCTGCTAGTCACTTAACTATTCACCCCTTTGCTCCTCTCATGTAAAATACTAGCATTAATAGGTTGCCTTTGCTGCTATATCTGTGCAGATCTGCTACTTACTACAATGTGTGGTGGGAGAGTTTTGTGTTTAAGAGTCAGATATACAATAATTCAAATGCAGATTTGTATTTATATACATTAATAGTTCAGAAATGCTGTAGAACAGCTGTTGGTCAGCATTCTAAAGGGGTAAGACAGAGCAAAAGGGGACAAGGAAAAGGCAAGGAGGGCAGGGCAAAAATACCAGCACTAAAACTCTTACTGCTTCCAATGAAGCCTTCAGAGAAGCATTTCACCCTTTCAGCACAGGGGAAAGCTGCACAAAAGCCAGGAAGCCACTGATCGAATGATTAGCCGCTGGGGGTAAGAAGCTGGGTCCAATGGAAAGCATGTGGCCTTCTGCGGCTGGACTGGGCTCCTCAGTCTCAGCATCTGCACCTGTGCCCTAGATCAAGATCTAGACCAATTTTTCAAGGCATACTGAAACCTCACAAAAATATAGTGGGAGAGGCTTATCTATCTTATGTGGAGACCACAGCGAAATTGCCAAAGAAAGAGGCCAGATGCCGTACATGAAAGATGACAAAACGTACTTCCCATTGGCAAAAAAAGAAGTCAGCACTAACTTCGATTTGAACTTTACCTCCAAAACTACTCATGCTGAAGAGGGTGCTAGAATCTGCTTGCCTGAACCTGTGCACCAAAAGGGGTAAAAGCAGGTAGAACAAGTTCATTGTATGGATTACAGAAGCGATCTGACCGCAACAAGAGTCTTTAAGCTGACAAACTGCTCACCTCTGGAGCCACGAAGTTGGCAGTATAACAAGGGGTCATGAGGAGCCCATTCTCTGCCCTCAGTTGCTTGGCAAAGCCGAAGTCACAAATACGAATAGACTCTGGGTTGCCAGACTCATCTACGTAGAGAATGTTGCTCGGCTTCAAATCTCTGTGCACCACCTGCGGAATTGGAACCAGGGGGAATCAGAGGCCGTTCATCTGGACACACCTACCTTCCAACTCTTTATTTCTGTTTTAGGCTGTAATTTTAAACTTTTAAAGTGCATGTTTTACCAAGCTTTATTTTATGTTTTTAATTGTAACTCCACACAGAGCTTCAGCCACTGGGTGGTAGAAAAATGGAATGAATAAGTATATATTAAAAGCAGCACCTCCAGCCCTTAGAAATGGATTGGTGCTTTTAGTACTATTATATTTATATCTTGACTTTTTTCCTCTTCTGAGAAGCACAAAGCAGCTTACATAGCTCCATTCTATCCTCACAACAGCAATCCTGTGAGGTAGGGTGGGTTGAGAGTGAGTGATGGGTCCAACATCACCCAGCGAGCTTCATTCAGAAATGTCTTCTTAGTACATGGCTCTCTGTGTTCTATTTTATTGTAAGTAATCTGCCTTGGTAAATTTTAGATGAAGAGAGGGATAAAATCCATTAAACATGATCCTAACATTCTGCAAGGTGTTAGGGGTAATTTTGGTCCCAGCAGGTATATTGAACAGGAGTGCAGGTACCAAGCATGGTCAGGGACACAGCAAAGTAATTTTACACCTTAGGATTAATGGAAGGTGGGTTCACTTTAGACGTCCAGTTGTGAAGCACACAATATTTATTTTGTTCCTGACAACAACAAAATGGTGGTTTTAAAAAATCAGGCCTGTGCAATTTTGCATTGTAAACTCATTCAAACCACAGTGATTTCAGGAATCAAACAGCCTTTGCTGCTGAACTTGTGGTGGCTTCATTGTGTTGGCCCCAAGGTGCCACCCAGCCTGCACCACTGAGGATGGGGCATGACACCTGGCACCCCAGTCCCCCAAGAGCTACACACACATCTTAGCAGCCAGCAAAAAGAGCACCCTCCAGGATCCATGTATTTCTTGGCATCTCCTACTCACCCCTTGCGAGTGCAGGTATTCTACAGTTCTGCAGATCGTGTGCAGGACAAAGCTGGCCTCCCTTTCAGAGAAGCACTTCTGCTTCAAAATCCTGTCCAGCAGCTCTCCTCCTCTCATTAGCTCGGTCACCAGGTAAACATGCTTACCATCATCATACACCTGACAAGGAGACATTTGTGGACAGGTTTGAAAGAAGCTACTTACACTGTGGCATTTGTATCCCAGGTACCATACTCAGAGGAGGCCTGCTCAGGGGCGACAAAGTGTCTTCAACACCACTGCAGATTTTTTTACATGACACACACACACACACACACTCATGGAGAGATAGAAGTAGTCTAGTTCTGGTCTTGGCAGCAAAACTGCTGCTGCTTTCTCTAGCAACCCTCTGCTGGAGCAAAACCAATAGGGTCGACCACAAGAGAGAGGAGGGTGTGGATCCAGGGCATCATAGCAAAGGTGTGAGCTGCTCACTGAAGGCGGGTGCTTCCTTGCTTTCATAGCTCCAGCAATATCCTCTCACTGCAAGGATACTGCTGGAATAAAGCAGGAATTCCCAGATTTATCCAAGTGCAATGTCAGAACATGCCTGTGTGTGAGCGTGTACATTCTGTGGATCTTGCAAGGTCATCACCAGCAGCAATGAAGTAGATCTAACCAGGCAGTGTCAAAGTGGGAGAAGGAAAACCTGCCCCCAGGTCTAGGCATTTCTACAGATGAGCTGCTAATATAGTTCCTTCTCCCCTCCACCCCCAGTTAATGAAGATAGCCTAGTGGTTCTGCAGCTACTTTCCTCCACAAACATGGGAGCTCAGGAATCCTATTCTACTGTTACACTCACGTCCTTCAGTGTGATGATATTTGGGTGCTGGCCGTACCGTAGGAGTATCTCAATCTCTTCTGAGGGGTCTCGTTTACTCTTGTCTATGACCTGCAATATATACACACATATAACTTCTTATAAAGCAGTACCAGTTTAGCATTTACATCATATCTGATAATTCAAAGCACTGCCTTTGCAATATCTGTCCATCTTTCCAGCAATCCCACATGGTTAGGCCAGTCCTGGCCTCTTGCTGCAGAAAGGGATGGATACTGAGATGAGGGAGATTGTCAGAGGCCACCTAGCAAATGCCTGCTGCGTGCGAGTCCTGAAAAGGGGAACATTTGGAAACAGGCAGTGAGGTTTGCCATCATTCTGGCACCAGGCTCTTTCCTCCATTCCCATTAGATGACATGCAGTGCACTCTTTAATGCATCAGCTGAAATATGGTTCTCACTACTATTTCCATTCTTTTATGGGGAGACAGTATTTTAGTGGATAACTGTTTTTAGATGTTGTAAGTTTGTGTATGTTTAAATTTAGCTCTAAGAATATTTGAGAAAGGCGCCTTTCCTAATAAATAACAACAGTTCTAAGTTGGCTCCACTTTTACATCACGCTCATTCAGTCCCAAGGTCCCACGGTGCAAAAGAAGGCTAAGAAATGCTCTTGCAATTCTGAAGGCCAGTGTCACAAGGCTGATCCATCCTCAAGTGCTGGATACCAAACTTGCCCACACCCTTGATCTTCAAATTATAATTCTCTTGGACTAATCATGAAGTTTACAAAAGGTACCACGATTCATGGGAAGAGCGAGGAAGGAAGTCCAACCTTGACAGCATATTCCGTGCTCGTTGCCTTGTGGACACAGCGCTTGCACACTGAGTAGGACCCCACACCAATGTCTTCCTTTACTATGTAACCGTCACTAAACTGGAGATTCTTGCCATGCAGTTGCTAAAAGTTAGGTGAATACAAAGGGAACAGAAGAAAGAGAAGTTAGCTTGCATTAATAGAGCACAGTATCTGTGTGTTATAACAGCGATGTGTGAAGACACTGCCATCTCTTTTCAAGGAGTAACCATGCCTGTACACATATATGCTTCCCTGCAGGACAAAAGAACTGGGCATGTTCAGCCTTGAGAAGAGCAGATTGAGGGGAGATATGATAGCACTCTCCAAAGGTTGTCACAAAGTGGAAGGGCAGGATCCCTCCTCAAGCATCCCAGAGTGCATGGCACAGAATAACAAGCTCAAGTCACAGAAAGCCAGATTCCGGCTGAACATCTGAAAGAACTTCCTGACTGTTCAGAGAAATACAACAACGAAACCAATGAGCTCGGGAGGCGGTGGGCTCCCCCACACTAGAGGGATTCAAGATGCAGCTGGACAGCCATCTGAGTGGGATGGTATGACTTGGGGTCCTGCACTGAGCAGGGGCTTGGACCTGATGGTCCTCTGGCCCCTTTCAACTCTACTCGTCTGTGATGACTAACAGCAGCTTTGAGGTGGGTGGCAAACTAGAATGCATACAAATGAGTGTTTTAAAATTGCAGAAGCGTCTACAAGGAGTCTTTACCAATCAGCTTGGGTAGACTCTTAAACAATAGAAACAAGTGTATGTATCAACCTAGACAGACTGCTTCGGAAATTAACAAAAGTGAGGAAGGTGCAAGCAGGTCTTAAATTTTGGGAGGCAACCTCAATTCAGCCCAGCTCTAACGCAAACAAGGTGGTAACTGGCCAGAGCCACTGCAGGGCTCATCGCGGGGGGTGGGGGCTGAGGAGAGGGCTGCAGTCCTGTGATTCTTTTCAGCTGCTCGCCACACTTCTTACCTGAACCACAGAATGCAAAGGCATGGGAGTGGATTTGGCCTTTTCATCCTCTATCAGTCCAGTGGCCACAAAGCTGAACCCTCGGAAGAGCTGGTGAGCCCCTGCGCTAGGTGGAACTCCAGGGGAGTCTGGAAGAGGAAAGGCGGAAAAGGTGAGCATTCACCTTACTGAAGCAACCAATTGTCAGTACTCAAACATCTGCTGTTCCCTCCCCCAAATCAAGGCTGCTCTGTGCCATGTAAGGCAGAGCCAAGGTAAGACTAACCAAGCAAACAAGTACGACCACAAGAATGGACGAAGTCGCATGCTTCCGGCTCCGAGCATGGGCCCATCGAGTCCAGCATTCTGTTCATGCAGTGGTCCATGAGCTGCCCACCAGAAATCCAGAGCACCCACCTGCCCAATTTGCCCAGCAACTGGTGCATTTAGGCCCACTGCCTCTGATCCTGGGGGCAGCAGGGGGCCCGCAGGACTAGCAGCCACTGCTAGTCCCCTCCTCCACTGATCCGTCCAATGCCCTTTTCAAGCCATCCAGATTGGGGGCCATGATTACAAGCCATGAAAGTGAATTCCACCATTTCACTCTGTGCTCTGTGAAGAACCCTTCTATCTGCCCTGTATGTCCCACCAATCTGCTTCAAGGGATGAACAGGATTTTATGAAAATGGGAGAAAAACATCTCTCAATTTTTCCACAAAATGCATCATTTAGCACACATCATTCTGTACACACCCTAGTCACCTCTTTTCTAAACTAAACAATCCCAATGTTGTAACCCTTCCTCACAGGAAAATTGCTCCTGCTCCTCCAGTCATTGTGCCTCTTTCTGCACTTTTTCTAACTCTCCTCAGTTCCTCTTTCCGGTGCAGTGACCAAAATTGTACAGAGCAGTCTAAGTGCAGTCACACCAAAGATCTGTGTAAGAACAGTCTGGTATTAGCAGTTCTGTTTTCAGTTCCTTTCCCAATACTGCTTGGCATGGAGTTTCCCCTTTTCACAGCAGCTGCACCCTGGGTTGGCACTTCCATTGATCCAGACAGAGTTGGGCAGGGATGGGATTTGGGGCTCTCCAGATGTTGCTGGACTGCAGTGCCCATCGTTCTTGACTGTCACCCATATCTGCTGATGGAAATGGAGAGTCCAGCAACATCTGGAGGAATGCAGGGCACTGAGCCATGCAATGGGGTTTCCCTCAATTGCCCTGTGGCACAAGGTCTTGGGACAAAAACACACGCTCTATCTACTCAGGTGGTATGACACTTGCTGGGCTGTACCATTCCATGCTGGAGCGGGGAGGAAAGAACTGAATGGCAGAATAGGTGCTCCTTATACATCCCAACAGGTGATGATCCTAACAGGTGATGAACCAACTGGGCTAGTTCCAGGTGGCTGGTCAACCATGGCAACAGACACCCCCCCTCTCCCCAGGCTGGGCTCAGACAGCACCATAAGCCATGCTGGAGGGGGTGATTAAGCAAACGGGGGCTGTTAACCACACAAGTGACTGTGAGAACTGGGTCACTGTGTGAGAAGGGCAGGCTAGAACTTTCTTCTGTCCAGAAAAGCTTGTCATGTTGAGACAGCATACAAGATAATCCCAAATCTGGCAGCTGGGCAAGAAGCATAAAGCAAAGCTTGTCCGTCAAGCCTCCAAGAAAAAATATGCTCAAAGAGCAAGAACATTAATTGAACTTGGGTATGAACGCATTGGTTTTAAAATCCAGTTCCACCATACATGCCAAAACAGATCGGAGCAGACTTCATGCCTTTAAAATTTACCTTTTTTCTTTTTTTTCTTCATTTTTTTACTAGAAGCCTGAGGACTTTGGAGGATGGATCAAAGTACCTAATTTATGTCATGAACCATACACTGTGATACCCTGCGCATAAAAATTTGAATTCATCTCCGAGTTACCGCAGATCAGAGAGTCTAACAATCTCATTTAGGATTCTGGGGAAAGGCTGTTCCCGCTGTTGCCAGCTGGGAGGCAGAAACCCCTGCTGATCTCCTGCTAGAGATGTGCTGGTCTCGGGATGGGGAGCCTCTTTCAGCCTGGGGCCTAATTCAGTTTGGAGAAGAACTTGCAGGTCGCACCCCAGTGATGCACGGGGACCAGCGGCAGCCAAGGCAGGGCTAATGGCAAAGGGATGTGGGAGGCGGAGGCAGATCCATAAAGCCAAAAATGCCAGCATACTTCAGGAGGAAATTCCTCCGTCAGTAGCTAAGACCTCAGAGAGGCATTAAAATAGTGGGGAAAGCTGCAGAAAAGCCAGAAAGCTGCCCAAGATCAGTGGCTGGCAGAAAGGGAGCGGAGCTGGGAGAATGCCCCAGCTGGGGCTCCCCCACCAGTACCAACAGAGGCCGAACTACCTTTTGTCTATCTCTGCTCTATGAATGAGATGCCTGGACAGCAAGGTTGTCCTTGCTAATCACATCCGTAGCACACCTGAAGGTGCACTCTTTTTTTGTTGTTGTTGTGAAAAACCCAAATCACAAACCTTTAGGTGTACGGGAGGTAAACTCTTTGTCGAAGTAAAAGGTATCGTCTGGCCGGCCCACAGCAGGCTTGAAAGGTGGCTTGATTTCCCGGCGAAAAAGCTTCTGCAAAGTGAAAACATAACATGGAAGCAAGGGGCAGCTGAAACCAAGTCGTGAATAAGAGGATGTACACCCAAACAGAGGAAACAGGTGCACGAAGCATGCCAGAAGGGTCACAAGCACGGCAAAGTTCCAGCCACAAACCTGTTCCTCCTTGAAGTGGCAAAGCCATGTCTGGACTGTGCCGCTTTCAGTTGCAGGTGGAGGCTCACATGGAGGGCCGCATGTAAAACTATATTTAAAGTAACTGTCAGGAGAAAGGCGTTGACCCTCGCTTTCTCTTTGATACGTAAAGCTTTCTCTTTTTTTAACATGGAAGGAGTGTTTTTTACACAAGAGAACATTTCTCTATGTGAACTTCCCCCTGCAGGACAAAGGGTACAATCCAGCTCATGAAGAACATACCAGAAGTAAAACTGGTTCCCATTAACAAGTGGATTTTAGCTCATTCTGTGGTACTGGTTCAATGAACCTAAAAGTAGCAAAACTAGATTTATGTAGACCAGAGTCAGAATCAGACAGATCCGTTTCTATCGAAAGCAAATCAAAAGTCATGCCTGTAACCTTGCCAGTCACTGAATTATAGGATTTTACAGGTCTGAAGTGCGGAACAGGGGGAAGAGAGTAATACTCACATTCCAGTCAATGGTGGAATAGAAAGGGTGACGCTTTATTTCTTCAGCACCATCTGGGCCAGACCCTGCAAGATCAGACGCACCATTTCAAATCCCTGCTACACCCGACAGAGGATTGAGCCCATGTGTTCAAGTTTATGTACACTCCACCACAACACACAGGCAGAGATGCAGAACTGTATTCACTGGAGTGATCAGAGTCTCAGCTTCATTTCAGAAAGTAGCAGGTATGGAGGTGCTTGTACCACTTCCCACTCCCTTTGGCTGCAAGTTTAGCCTGGGTGTTGTGAGCAGCAGCTTCTGAAATCTCTAAAGTAAAGGAGGTCAGTTCATTTACCCTTAAAGCAAGACTGCTGCATCTGATCAGCCCCAAGGCATGTGACACTGCATAGCTCAGGTTACAGTGTTATATGCTGAAGCCCAAACTTAGAAGGGTGCTTCCCTTGTCGGCCTTTTAATTCCTATTGTGCTGCATCCCAATCCCAAATCCTATTACAGCTTCTCTTCATGTAGGGATTTAAAATGTTTGTCATGGTTTCAGCAATGATATTTCCTAAAGCAATTTTTGCTAAAAACTCAACATGCTTCCAATACCACATCTGTGGTGCGGTTTGTGCTGCAGACGGGATGAAGCACAAGGTGAGAAAGGATGTCTTACCTAACCTGTTGGCTGGGTTCCTCTTGAAAAGCGCTCGCAAGAGACTCTGTGCTTCCGAACTCAGAAACTGGGGCATGCCCAGCTTTGCTCTAAACAAAAGGTAAATAAGAAAAATAAAGTGGCGTGACCCAGAAAGATGCGAAGGAACCGCAGCTTCTCCGGTTCTCTAATACGTCACCCTTTTCTTTTGCCTCGCCTCGCCTCCCACAATACAGTTTGAAGGGTAGAGTGTGCTCTGGCATTCCCACAACACAAACCAAGGCTGCTGAAATAGCAAAAGGACTCAGAACTACGCCTCCAATGGCATGCAGATTTCCAAAAAGTGCAGAGCAGATGATAGGAAGCGACAGGCTCTGGGCCAAATTCATGTCCCTCACCTCCAAGTTATGCTACTGGATATGCTAATTGTCCAGCCCAGTAAAAAGGCATGTGTGGAAAAGGGGCATGGTTTGTTTGTTTATGGTTATACAAACACGGATGTTCCACCCTGCCAGTGCTTTGGTACCCCTCAGGCCAGCGAACAATGACTCAAATGCTGGCATGTTCCAAAGGAACAGAAGGCACAATATAATAAAAAAACAGAGAGGTGCAGCAGAAAGAGCAGAGGGTTGGAGGACCTCTCCCTTCCACCTCTCTCTCTCTTTCTGACCACGGGTCTGGCAAAAAGTGAACCCTCTCCAGGTCAGTACGGGCCTTATGGTCTTACTTGAGAATGAGTGTCATGGTCTCCTTCCGGTCCTTCCCCTGAAATGGCAGAGCCCCCGTCAGCATCTCAAACTGCAAGAAAAGGCAAGTAAGTATTTCATGTGTTTGAACCAGGTGACCATTTTGTATTTCATCTGTTTGCTTCACTGGGCAGTTCGGTCTTAAGGGATTTTGTTTTTGGAGTTTTGTTTTAACTGTGTTGGTACTTTATCTACATTTTATTGTGAAACACCTAGAAAGCACTTTTGGGTCAACAGTCTTGGGTCAAAAAGCAACATTTCATATCTATAAAGAGAAGCAGTGATAGGCAACTGGACCACATCATAATTAATAATCTTCTTGCTGAGTTATGAATTCAAAATTATAAACTTGAACAAAAATTCTTGCAATTCTGGAGTGTCTTTGAACTCTTGTGCATGTGGGTCAAAGTGCATCTTGCACAGGGATGGGAAAACAAGTGTTCACAGTTTCCAAAATTCTCCATACAGCAGCTTGACTCTCCTCAATTTTGCACTTGCTGTTCATTTTGTGTGAACAAGAAAATTGGGTAAAATGAACAGCTACTGAATAAAAAGGTTACACAAACAGTTTGCAAATTTGTGCAAATTTCCTCCATTGGCTAAAGTGTGAATTTCGTTCTACTTGTGCTAAAGTGGGTTAACAGATTTGTGTGAGGGCACTTGTGCTAATGCGCTCATCTGCAAATCCTAAATGCAAATGAGCACAAATCCCCCCTCTAAGTTGAAAAAGGAGCCTGCGAGTTCATGGAATCCACACGTCTTGGAAAAAGTTTTAGAGATTTGGAAATGTGAATATTTCATGCAAAGCTGACTGGGGAAATTTGCACAAAGGAAATGCAGGTGTTTGAAAATTTCAGAATGTGCATTCTCCTGCTCACATATGATTTATGCATTTGGCATACCCACGTATTTTGCACATCCTTAATCTTGGAAAAGTGATTTATAGAGTATGGTGTTTATCATCTCATGCATCATGTGTCGCAACACAGTTCTTCCCTGACTGGTGGCTGTAACTGCAGGTGCTTTGTTCACAATAGTAAACACCATACTCCAAGCAAGGGGCCGCAGCTACATGTGTCGCTCACACCCCTGGGCAGTGATGGGGTCAAGCAGCAGGACCCACAGACCCCTGCCCTCTGCTGACTGATGGCAACACAGCACGTGCTTGAGAAGCTTTCTCCTCTCCTGTGCCACCCCCTCCTGGCTGTTTTCATGTCATCGCCTTCCTAGCAAGGCCAGATGGGATTTAAATGCAAGTGCCACAAGATGGCAGCACCAATTCACCTAAAGGCACCTCTCCTCCTTGCATTACAGGTAGCTTTCACACAGCCAGAGCTGATTTTCAAAAAACTGTCCAATAGCCTGAGATGTTGAATGGGGTCGTGGGCACGGTGCTGAAGGCTCTGAGCAGACTTGACCTGGGGCACATCAACATCCGCAGTGAGGCTGCCTTGCTGGGGCATGTCAGGACTCGATGGCCGCCATGGGGCTGTCTCGGTGGGTCGAGTTACTCCTCCCTACAGTGTGATCTGGAGGAGCCACTGGATGCAGTGCCAGTGACTCTGTGCCAGGCACCAGGCAGTCAGGTGTTGCTGAGGCCCAAGTACATCAAGACGCATGAAGGAATGTGAACAACCAGAAGCTGGTTCACGCCTCATCCACCCCAGCTCAGAACAAAGCAGGAGCGGGTTGACTGATGAGGCTGTACAAGCTTGGAGGAGGAAGTATGGCCACTCCTGGGGAAAAAACTTCTCTAGACCCTGATGATTTCCCCAGCTTGGCCAATCACAGAGAAGCACTATTTGGGTCAGGTGCTTAGGCAGGTGCACCCCATGCAACAACCAGCACTCTTGAATGATACCAGTTACCTGGATTCATTTCAATCCAATTCCCAGCCTTGGTTTGGTACCAAAATGGCCCCGGACATCCTGATGGATGCCCTTTTGCCCATGCCATGACTTTGGAGTTGAGGTGGGCAGCATTTCAAGGCAGGGGGGATACATCTCTGTAATGGTCTCCTAGCAAAGGATGGCCTGGTATTGAGCAGAATACCTTCTTGGCAAAGTAAAGACTTCTTGTTTGCCTGGCCTTTTTAGATTATGGTTTTAATCTGATGTTACACTGGCTCCTTCTATTTTCAGAGGAGAAGCCAGGTTAACTCTGTTGTGGCAAAAAGAAGACAGCATCTTGTGTCCCCTTTAAATTTTACAAATTTATTATGGCATAAACATGCAGACTACATGGTTTGCAGGCTACCAGTATGCAATAATAAAACAGGGCACATGCTTTGCACGCTTCAGGTTCTATGCCCAGCATCTCCAGGTAAAGCTAAAGAAACTCCCACCTGAAATTCTGAGGAGCCATTGCCAAACGCGTTGACAATTCTGGGCTAGAAGTACCAGTGGCCCGACTCAGTGTGAGGTAGGACTCTACGTTCCCAACAACTTTTTTTTTACTTTTTCTGTTTTACAATGTTGTTTTGCTATTTTTGCTATGATGTTTTAGGGTTTTACTTGTTTTCATTCTGGAGAGTTTCTAAGCTGGAAAGCAGTATGAAGAAATAAATCAACAAAAATCAACGGTACCATTAACACTCCGTAGGACCACCAGTCAGCACTTTGAGTGTGGCCCTGGCGATTCACCACTTCTGGTGCCATGTACTCCACCGTCCCACAAAAAGAATACGCCTTCTTCTCATGGTCAATGGCTTCTTTGCTCAAACCAAAGTCTACAAAAGGGGCAGAGAAACCAAGAATAAAGAGAACTGAATGAAGGTGACAAGGAGTAAATGATCAGTGATCTGCTTAACAAGGCAAGGCAAAGGGAGAGCAGCTTTGATCAAGTAGAATAAAAAGCAACCAACACACAACTAACAACCACAACAAACAACCGTCAATTCAAGTCATACCTGTGAGTTTGATATGCCCTTCATCATCCAGGAGAATACTGTGAGAAAAATGGACAGAGAATATAAGGTGGAGAAATAGCTCAAGTGTAGAGACACAGTGAACAGAATATGCAGATTAGGTGTGGCCAGCTTGACACCTGAAAGTCAGGATGCAGCTGCATCCCTACAGAAAGATCCGGTGTGAAACTTTCCTTGGTCTGATCTTAATCTCTTGTCAAAGCCTCATAGGCACTGGGAGGAGGGACACACTCAGCAGGCCCCTGTTAAAAAGCTTTCTTGGCTAGCGGGGCACAGGACCACTTCCTGAAGCTCTGAAGAGTTGCTGACAGTCAGAGCAAACAACACTGGACTGGATGTACTAAATGGCACTGAGCTGCCTCAACAGAAGGAAGGCGGAGAGACATTAAGGCAAAGTACTCAGGAAAAGGAAGCTGTGGCATCACCCTGTCTGGAGGGGAACCGAGCAAGAAGGGATGCTGATCAATTGTGTTCTGGTCAGGGGGCTTCACAGGGGAGGGTGGGGCACAACAGAGTGCAATGCTATGGACCACCTCAATTCCCCATACTCGTATTGTTTCTCCGCTCACGAAAGCTGGCTAGCACTTTCACGCATTTGCAGCAGAACTGAGCTTCCACCTGCTTCGATTTTAACATGCCCAGGGAGAACCAGCATGGTCTTCTGGAGTGGGACCTCTGGCTCTGGAGCAGGCTGAGCACCAGGGCAGACTAGGAGTGCGAGCAGGGCCAAAGAGGGCTGTGGCGAGGGAGTCCATGGTAGCGCACCCCATGGCCCTTCCATGCTCCAGCTGTCCCAGCTAGAATGATGCCCCGCTTGGAAAAGTTAGCAGCCCCCGCAGGCCGGGGAGGGGGCTCCCCCCAATCCAAGCTACCGGCAGGTAATACGCATACCAGACCCCTCAGGAACGTAGCCTGAAAGAGACCTGTGAAACATTTGAGCTCTGCTTACTTCTCCGGTTTAAGGTCCCGGTAGACAATTCCCAGCCGATGCAAGTGACCAAGGCCCAGCACCAGCTCTGCAAGGTAGAACTTTACGTCTTCCTCGGTGAACATTACCTGGGAGGAGGAGAGAGCAGGCAAGGTGTGGTCACTCTGTGCAGAGGGCAAGTGTGCTCCTCTTATTTAAAAAAAGTTTCTAGACCACATAGAGTAGGGGCTAAAAATGCACTGATTTCTGGGTAAAAGCTCAGGAGGGGCAGAACAGATTTTCAAACAGTTTCTGTCAGAGTATCCCCATTTTGCAAGGTGAGAGGAGGGCAAATAACAAGCAATGTCAGGATCTTTGAAACAGAACAGTTAATCCAGTCAAACTGCTAACCAGCTTATATCAGGTATTCTTGCTGAAGAACCTCGGTTCTGAGACATTTCTGCCAAATTTGTCTTATGCCCTGGGAGCAATTCTGAGCCTGAATATTTTAAGTACATCCTTCTCATATCTCTTTTCCACTGTATTAAATATACCTGGTCTACTTGCTTGCCTCAATTTAATAACACATTCTAGTAAATTCATCCCTTTCAAAAAAGAAGTTGCTAAGCAGCTGAAAGAGCTGAGGGAGAACTTATTTGAAATACTCTGTATTAGAAGATTTTCCAGCTGTTGTCCGCCTTAGATCACGTGCTTCCTTGTTCTCATCGCAGTTTCCTGTTACCCCATCAAGGCCTCCCCACATTTCCTGCCAGCGTCCCCCACCACAACTCCAAGGTAGCCAATCATTTTGTCAAGCAGCTGTGGTAGAACAGAAGAGAGAGAGACGGAGCACACGAGAAGGCACATACCACTGTTTCGCAATCGTTTTCCTCCGTTTGGCAGAGGAAGATAGCTGGTCACAGATAAAACTACGTGGGAAAAAGTTGGCTTGTTACTGCATTCCAAAAGTATAACTTTGAACTATGTCTTGGAATCCAAGTTTTTTGAGGATGATGGAGAAATGGTTATCACCACCAAATATGGCTTTGAACAACCATTTGAATAAATGGAACTACTCAAACTGGAGCAATATGGTTCAACCCCTGACCTCCCACTTACTCTTCTGTATTGCTGCAGATTCTCTGGCTAAAGTATCTACAACGGTCTTCCTACGGATCCTATAACAGGACAGTCTGCACATGAAAGAGTCCTAATCTTCCAGGAAAATGAATTATCTTCAGCCATCCTTTGTCCACTATAATTTTTCCCCCCTAAGAGTTAGATTGCAATTTCCCTTGGGACAAAGTCCTCTCATTTTTGCAAGGCTGTTTTGCACAGTTCGATGGTCATTGGATGAATAATAAAGCACCACAGTTTCAAAAAACATTTATGTACAGTGGTATTTCTAAAAACTAGAGGTCAGTCTGAGGTATTGCTACTTCAGAGTGACTTCACAGTGTTCACAGAATAACAGAGTTGGGAGGGGGCAGAGGGCTCAGTGCAGGACACCTGGTCAAACCATCCCACTCAGATGGCTGTCCGGTTCCATCTTGAATCCCTCTAGTGTGGGAGAGCCCACCACCTCCCGAGGTCATGGATTCCATTGCCATACTGGTCAAACAGTCAGGAAGCTCTTCCAGATGATCAGCTGGAATCTGGATTCCTGTAATTTAAGCCGGTTATTCCATGTCCTGCACTCTGGGATGATTGAGAGGAGAGCCTGTCCTTCCTTTGACACAACCTTTCAAGTACTTTAGAGAGTGCTCTGATATCTCCCCTCAGCCTTCTTTTCTTGAGGCTAAGCATGACCAGATCTCTCTCTCTCTCTCTTCAAAAGGCTTTTAAAAACTTTGGTGCCAAGACCAGATGAGGTCTTACTAGCACTGGGTACAGGGGAACTAGCACTTCCTGTGTTTTGGAAGTGATACTTCTGTTAATGCAGGCTAAAATAGCATTTGCCCTTTTTGTAGCCATATCACAAAATATATAAAGAAAAAATAGACGGGAATTATATTAGACACTGTTGGAAATGCACCAAAGAAGAGGGGACTTTCTATCATATGTGGTGGACTCACGATAGAATTAAAAGATTGATGCATGCAGAAATACAAAAACCCTTAAAATTCAACTTTTGAATGAGAATATGCTTCTGCACATACCGCTGGAGGCTTTTTCAAAGAACATGTCAGAGTTATCTAAGTATATGACAACTGTGGCAAGAATTACAATTGCTTCTAAATGGAAAACAGCAGAATGCCCAACAATTGAAGATTGGAAATATAAGTTGGCTGCGTATGCAGTGATGGTAAAACGAATGATGTAAACAGAATACTGACTGAAGAATGTAATGATAAATGTCAATTCTATTATACATAGTTTAATTAATAGAAAACAAAATCATTAAAATACTGCTAATAATTTATCATTAATTTAAAGTGATTGGAAAATTTGTTGGTTTAGGGTACTATAATTATTTTCTCTGCGAGCTGCAACAAAGTATTAATTGACAGAAAGGCAGAGATTTTCACTTTTTGTGGAAATCTGCAGGTTAGGACTGTATATGTTATATTTACATATGTACCCTTGGCATTCTTATTTTCATTTTACATTTGTCTTCCTTTCTGTACTTTATTTCTTTTAAGAAAACAATAACAATTATATTTAAAAAATCACCTTGAATCTTCTTCGTCTTCCAGGCTATTCGCTATTCCCCCCTCCCCAGTTTTGTGCCATCTGCAAATTCAATAATCATTCATTCCCTGTACTTCCTCATCCAAATCATTATAACAATGTAAAGAGCGTTGTGTCCCAGGCAGAACCCTGCAGCACCCTGCTTGTTACCTCTCCCCAGTTGTTTTGAGGATAAAATTGATCTGTGCAAGCTTACCTTGAGTTCCTCACAAGAGGACAAAAATGGATATAACTGCAACGTGATGGTGAAGATAAATTTCCTTTACTTTGCAAATGGTTATTCTGCTGCACCAGCTTAATTCCCTTCCAGACTTTTTATTGTTTATTTCGATACTCCGAGCAACTATTCCAGCTTTTATGGAGTTGATTGGTAATTTTGGTAATTTGTCTGTTTATTCAATGAACCGGTCAAATTCTGAACTGACAATATTTCTCACAGTGTATCAGCATTGGCAACTTTAACAATAACCAGATTCTATTACATATTTGGGAATACTTATTCATAAAGATGCATTTCAAATGTTTAAGCTAAATTTGAATCAGTGGGCTAATGAGTTCTCATAGGATGGGTATCTTAAAAATTGCATTCATGCAGTACAGTTAATACACTTAAAAAGAGTATTTTACCTCGCTTTATGTTCTATGTGAACACTATTCTCTTTATCTGGCAAATATTTTCAAAAACTTAACACTTAGTTTTGCAATTTTTTCTGCAGTTTGGCTCTGCTATGAATATCTTTGAAAAGGATGTAACTTTCCATTAAAGAAAGTGGATTTGGGTTTGGCTTTTTGAATCTTGCTTTGTAACATCAGACCTGTCTCATGTTTTTTTTTCAAAATTGTGCTCTATCCCACTTAGATTTTCCACCTTGGTCAGTTCTGGAAACTGCTTGTCCAGAATGACTTTCTAAATTAATGGCATCGGGCTTTCCACAATTACAGCTGGTAGAGATAATTAGCAGAGCACATCATGTCAATTACATTGTGATCCATTTTCTCATGGTAGATTGACTCTATGGAGAAACTCAGACTTAAAAATTAGTAAGAAAATGTTTTTTTGGTGGACTTTGTTGGATAAGCTGATTTGAACCAATGAACAAGGTTTCTAATTTGGTTTTCTGTGCCAGGTAGGACCTGCTGGTCAGACCGAAACAGTTGCAACTTTTGCTAGGTCTTAAATTTAGTCCTGCAGCTTTTACAGTGTCCTTCATTACCAGGAGAACTTACTGAGGCAGATCAATCGCATTGTCTTATGTTCACGGTCATAAATACTCAGCATTGGTGAATAAATCTGATACACAGGAACAAGGAATTGGATTGTTCTACTTTGTCTCATCAGTGGATTGTCACTTTAGAGTCTGTATCTGAAGCATCAATGAATCTTAGATTACATTCAGCAAACAATCTTGTATCTATTGGATATCACAACATCTCATTAATAAGGGTTTGTCCAAGTTGTCTAACAGCTGGGGATGAAATACTGTTTTAACCACATGTTTCTGCAATGTCCAACAGTTGCCTCTTTTTGGGAGGAGGTTATTATGCAGATTAACTTTGTATTAAAATACTCTAATATTTACTGATGCACATCTCCTCTTAAATTATCTACCTGCTTCCTATAAATTAATATTTGGCCAGCACAAGTGAATTTCCTGCTTCCTTTCACTGCTAAAGGACAGATACTCCTTTACTGGAAGGATAAAAACATACCTCTTATAAGGCAATACATCAAAGAACTGCTCTCGTCATTTAAATGGGAGGCATACAAATGTCACTCATGCACACATATAAGGATATTTGGCTTACCTTTGTTGATGCTTGTGCATGTTTTTGTTTTCTTATCTAGGAAGGTGAACATTTATTCACACACAGACACACACTTCACATCTATTAATTGCAACTGATATTTTCAAATCTACGTAGTGCCATTTTCTCTTTCCTTTTGCTTTATTTTCTTTTCAGGATGCTGTTGCGGTTGTATGAGATCGATCACGCAAAAAAATCCACCCGCCCCCAGCAGTTCACCTGCTGCTGCCATATCCAACCTGATGCAGCCAGGTGGCTCATGAGCTACAGGACGCACTTGTGCTCACCTCTTTGGAAAGGCGCATGAAGAGGTCTCCCCCTCTGAGGAAGTCAAGGATGAGGTAGAGTTTCCCCTCAGTTTGGAAAGCTGAAATGCAAGACATGAAACAGGATTCAGAATCTGCTTGGCCTGCCAGTGGCAAGAGGGAGCAACTGGCCAAGCAAAGTTGGTACCTGCCCGTGATATTTCCTTGTCCTGAGGAATATGCAACAGGCAGCTCAGAGGAGAACTCAAGTCCAATGACATTGCTAAACTACATTCTGGATGCCAGCATTGCCCCCCCAGTTCCTTTCAAAGGTTCTGGACTACAATTCCCAGCTTTCCTGATCATGGACATGCTAGCTGAGACTGATGGCAGTGGATGTCCAATGCATCTGGAAGGCTCCAAGTTGCGGAAGTTTGCAACATAATATTCTGTTGCCTAATCCTGGTAGAATGCTCTATTTAACACATTTACCAATGGTCCAAACTGGGGGTCTGAGGTTTTCGTAGCCCTGGCTCAACTGGACAAGCAACTCAAGTGCAAAAAATATTTTTGGGAAACTAATGAAGCAGCATGCCATTTAAAAGTGGCATCTCAGCATCCTTTATAAGGCATTCTGGATCATTTATTTAAGGCATAATCCTACACATATGAAGGCAGGAAAAGTCCTACAACAACAACTACTACTACTTTGGATTTAACTGCCACCTTTCTTCTTCTTGCAAAGAACCCATGGCAGCTTGGATTCAGGGGTATCCCACGAACAGGGATGTCAGTGCTAACAGAGTAATTATTTAAAACATTCCTAGGCCAACTTTAAGGGTAAAGGTCCTTTTGATTCAGCTTACAAAGAGAATTCCCATGCAATATAATTCAGGAACAATGATTTAGAAATCAACTGGGCCAGTAGAAAGAGGACTAAAGTCATGTCAACATCTCCCCCTTTGTTATGTGCAGTAAAACCCTTTGTCCTAACGTGCTCCATGTCTATTTCCTTCCCTGTTATTTACTCTACTGGCAGCTGCTGCTAAAATGCCCAGTTGTCAAGATGTGGGTAAGTTTAACTTAACTTCACAGAGAGGGGCAAGAATTCAGCACAGGACTGCCATTTTCAGCATCAATCGTGATTATTGTACTGTGCAACAATTCATTCTGTTTCAGACGTATGCAACCCACGGATGAAAATGCGTTGCTTTGCACTGGAGAGTTCTTAGCTTATTGCTTTCTCATGTGCACATCCAGGATGCATGACTGTAAGTATGTGTAAAATATGGAGCACACTCTTCAAGAAGTCGGGGAGCTGGGCTTTTGAGCAATCAACTCTTTCTTACATGCCTAGGCCACCTCACAGGCTAATTCTCAGAGCAGCTTAAAGGCAGCTGCTCACAAAAACGCATTTTCTTGCTCACCATAGTGCAGCTTCACGATGAACGGGTGGTTTACTTCCACCAGAATGTCCCTTTCCATTTTCGTCCTTACTCGATCGCGCACTGTCAACACAGAAAATGCAGTTCTGATACAACACTTCTAAAGAGACAAGGAACAGAGCAGCCCTAGCTATGGAGAATCAACCTTCACCCCAAAGCTAGCTCATTCCTTCCCAGGACTGAGGTGTCTCCATTCCAGAGCGTCCATCATCCCTCACGCCTCACTGAAATGCACCCCTGTTCCACAGCTTCCCAATTCCTTCAAGTCCTATCATGCAGAGCCTCCTCACCTTTCAGTGTTGCTTTCTTCAGGACTTTCATCGCGTAGAGGTGGCCATTGTCTGGTGGGGTGATTTTTCTTACAAGGAAGACCTGTGCAGATAAAGGACATAACCATAAAAAAGCGTCTTGCCCTTAGCAAATTTTCATTCAGGGAAGCAGCAGAGTTTGCGGTAGGGGATGCAAGATGTTTAGTTGTGGGTTAAATAGCTTCAGGACTACTATTTATTGTGACAACCACCTCCAACACCAGAGAAGGTGGTGGCATCTTAAGGAAAAGATGACAGGTCTGTCCTCCTTCTTGCTCATTCTGAATCTTTCCTAAGCACCATAATCCCTTTTAAATTGTCTCCGCCTGTTTATGCCAAATCAGCTGCAGAAGCGTGGCGACAGGCAAAGCTGAACCTGGTGCACTACTCTGGAAGGGCCTTATGGATGCCTCATCAAAAGTTAGAACAGAACACAAAAATCTGCCTCTCTGTTTTGGGGTGCTGGGGAATTGCCACAAGCAATTTTCTCACGAACTTTAAATTATTAAATGGTTTAAATTAAATCCTAGCCTGCCCATTAGGCAAAACGACTCTCTGGATGGCTTTGGTTTCTTCAAAATATTACTGTACATTTATGGATGTAACACTTCTATCTTGAACACTTGCTGTTTTTATCATCGTTTTCATTGTAAACCATCCTGGAATCTTTGTAATGATGGCAAGAATGAATAAATAAATGAAAAGCACATGCAGTGAATTCACTTGGATATTAAAAATGGATGTACTCAGTTATATAAAACAGCCTCATCCAAAATGCTGCTTTCCAGGTGTTCTGGCCTTAATCAGACCTAGCTAGCATTCGCAGTGGTCAGGAATGCTGGGAACTGTAGTCCAAAGCATGCTAATGGCCCCAAGCTAGGGTACAGAGTACTGGTTTGGTGACAGCACAGGAAATGCATTTTGTCTTAAGTCTCCTGCTTTAAGAGTCTGAAAGGGAGAAGGAATTTTTGACTGTGTTTTCCGAAGACGTGAAGAGAAGTACAATAAAAAGGCAGTTGCTGCTATTGCTTAGACCTTTGTGAGCATCTGAGGGGATGTCGGGTGGAGAAGCAAAGCAGCCTGAAAAACTAGGAAGCAAAAAAGAGAGGAAATGTCTCATGGTGGTACCAGACATTTGAATTTATAAAATAGTAATCTTTTAAAAGAGGAGTTGTCTTAATAGGAAAACTGGATTTTTGTGCAGACTGAAGAGGAGTGCCCAACTGACAGCCGCCGTGATCTCTGGGGTGCCTGACACCCCCCCTGCTGCATTTCTCTCCCAGTCGCCTGCTGCTTGCAGCACGGCTGGGAGTGATGCAGAGCGCTCCTTCCAGTGAGGGAAAAGCCTTCTGTAGGAGCTCTCATGAAGCGCATGGACACCCTTCTGGCACCACGATCGCTGCAGGTGTGTGTGCATCTGAGCACATGATTCTTGACCAAAAAGCCTGTGCATGCATGGCTTATACTGAAGTGTTGGGCATTTCACTACTTCATAAGGATATTTCTCAGCTTTATAAATTTCAATTATTTTAGGAGCATTTTAAGGCATGGCCTCTATTTTTGCTCTTCTCGCTACAAACTGTGCCATCTGCCCATAAGAACATCTTATATGTATGTGAGTGGTGTAGGGCTGAGGGTCATGGGCAAGGCACTCTGTACACTGTCAGAGGCACTGTTACTTTCTGTTTCTTCAATAAAGAGAAAATGCTCTGTGGGCAGCCTTAAAATGGCTGAAGGTGAGTCCAGGACCAGCACTATCTGCCGGAGACTGACTCTTCCGGAAAGTTAGCAGCTTCTCCTGAGGAAGCAGCTCCCTGCTGCAGCCACATTGTGATAAGCCATGGAGCTGAGTCAGGGACAGGTTAAAGTCTTCACAGGCCTACGTACTCTCCTATCTGCAGGCCCCTGGAATAGATCCACAGATAAAGATTTATGTTCTCTAGGTCCAGTAAAGCTGCACAGATGAGCAGTGTTTTGCTTTCAGTTAGTGGCACACAGCCCTGGGACAATTCCAGCCTTCAAAATATCCACAGGGGATCTCAGAACAACAGCCCAGAGTTCTCAAAAACACATTTGCATCTTTTTAACATATTGGGACTTACACAGCAGCGCTAATCAGAAATGTTGCTATAATGGCCCAGAGAAGTTCTCTCCCTTGACTTCAGGAGGAGAGGAAATTGCCAGGTATTCTTTTTTGCTTTTTCCTAACAATTTTCAAAAGGCTTGGAAGACAACAGGGCACATGACTATTTCCACCCTTAACAAATTTTGCCAAGGCTAATCGTGGGCTCAAATTACGGGAAGCCAGGTTCTGGCTAAATATCAGGAAAAGCAGAGCGACAATGGAACCCATGATCTGGGGAGGCTGTGTGCTCTCCCGCACTAGAGGTGTTCAAGATGCAACTGGATGTCCATGTATTAGGGATGCTTTAACTGCACTGAGCAGCGGGTTGGACCAGGTGGCTCTCTGGTCCCTTCCAGCTCTACCATCTAGGAGTCTATGAATGCTGTTGCTGAAGTTCTCCCACCATTCAATTGCAAGGAGACGACACCACGCAAGCAACTGAGAGCCTATGTTTTGATGAAGTTGGCACTAGTAATCCTGACGTGGATTTGAGTGCCAGTGGCAAATTCTTCATGCGCTTGCTACCTTCCCAAAGAGAAATGTCGCACTGAAACGGGCCGATGGTGAACAGTGCACACTACACTCAATGAGAAGTTTGCTTTTCTTGTGCACAGGTCTGTGTCCAGTGAAGAAGTGACCTCTGGAGCCAGGCCATTAACGGGACACGTGTCCGGCTGATCTTGAACAGGCCCTCACAGATGAATTTCTATCCTTCCCGTGTGTGTACACAGACAGGAAATCCGTGCCAGAAACGATCACTGTCCCAAATAAGTTGGTGACAAGGCTTCCAAATGCATTGTTTTTAGAATGTATCCTGTCTTTTTTGAAACAAGCTGCAAAGGGTTTTGAAAGTTCAGTTGTATAAACAATGGTCTCAGGTCAATCACAGGACAGAAATTACTCTCTCCACTTGTACTACTTTCAATCAAAAATGAGTTTTTGAATTTTTGAAGATGCAATCTGGGATTTTCCTGACAAGAAGAGCCATAAAGCTCCTGTTTAACTTACTTTTAATGAAGACATATTAGACCTCTATGAGTAAACTGCTTAACCCAATAATAATTTGCTTCAATTAAATTAAATTTCTTGTTAGGCCAAAACTATTCTGCAGGCATTTGGGAGTGTCAGAGGCCCAAGGGACTTGGTCAGTTGTACCTGAGTGGTACCCCAGCCCTGAGCTATGGTTAAGGGCTACAATTCTACACACCTCTGGGAATAAATCCCATAGAACTGAAGGGCTTGCTTCTGGGTAAACTTACCTGGAAATGTACTGATGACCTTGTAAAGATTTAATGAGGTACTTCTTATAACAATGCCAATTTCAGTGTCATCTTTGTGGCAAACACTAACCTGCAGGCCAAATTTGAGGCTTCTAGGAATCCCAGTCAAAATAATATTTATTGCAATATTATTTGAAGGTCTTACTGTACTCCTGACTGTTCACAGGATCTGGATTTAGTTCAGGCTGGAAATACCAAGCGTTTAATCCTAATCATAAATGCAAAAGGTCTGAAATGGGAAGGGGAACTTTTCCAGCAGAAAGACAAATGTTATGGCATTTACCTCAGATCAACATTAACAATTTTGCATAGGACTTATCTTTCTGTACACCAAGCTGAGGGAGTCCTTCTGATGAGAGCTGACAACACTGGGCGGGTGTCCACTTCCCTCTCCATCAGCACAGTGAGAGACAATAAATGTAATCTACATCAACCCGTGAACTCACTTTTCCAAAAGAACCTTGTCCTAGGACTTTCAGAAGCTCAAACTGTGATGGATCGGCCTTCTCCGACCCCTCTTTGACAAGATACGTGATGGTATATTCTTGGACAGAGCCTTCATTCTGAATTAAGGAAAGAAAAAACAACAGGGTTAGCAGGAAGACAAAGCCACAACTCCAGTGATGACACACTCAGGGACACTCTTGGTTTGAGGCGGAAGCATGCAGCTTAACTTTTACCAGCTTAAAAGCTACAGAGGTGCTGGTGGGCATACACAAAACTCCCCTTTACATGCATCCCATGGCACCGACCACTGCACAGGAACACCATGAGCATGTAGGAGAAACACGGCATCATTATGTGATTATAATCAAGGAACATGCCAAGGCCACGTCAGACATACAAGTCAGGTGCATCGGCATCAGCAGCTCATAGTCATCCAAAGCAGGGGTGTGTAGCATCTCTTACTGCTGCAGTTCGGGGACCAGCTACACGTAAGCAATGCCAAGATGCATTCTGACAACAGATGGGTCTGAACTAAAGGTCAGAACAGGCTCAGGACCAGCACACGTCTGTCAGCAAAAGCATCATTCCCCCAAAAAGGTTTCCCTTGCAATGAAGGGGAGTCACGCATGTTCCCCTGGCCAGAAGATTCGGGCAGGGCTCAGAGGTCTCGGAACACCTTTATTAAGGTTGGTTTACGGCAGGGAGGGGGACTGCGTGACCCTCCAGACATTGTCTAACCGCAGCTCCCCTCATCCGTGGCTACGCTGGCTGGGGCAGCCCACCAGCATCCGGAGGGCCACCCAGTGGCAACATGCCGTGTGACCATTCTGTTGTGTGTGTTTTGCTGGCACATGTTTGCCCCATACAATAACCTTGCATTTGAAATGGCAAGCTGGGGCATTTTAAGAGAAGTCCTACTGAGTTTGACCGCAGGCCCATCTAGCCCCACCTCCTGTTTCCCCGCAGTGGCCAGGCACATACCAATGGGGAAGCCACAAACAGGACATGAGGGCGGCGCACCCCCCTCTTGGTTGCTTCCAAGCAGCTGCCGCTCAGAGTCAGAGTCACTCAGGGTCGGGATCAGCAGGGCTACATCTGCAGCGGCTCGTCTGCTTTGCGCAAACGGTGGCTGTTGCAGGATTTACACTGCAAAGGATTTATGTCGCAGTCCTCGTGAAACGTGTGTGCATGTCTGTGAACCTGGCAGAGAGTTGTGACTAGTGGGTAGTACAGAAATTAGGTTTATATAGTTACTTTTATTGACAAACCTCAAAAGCCTCAGGTCCAGAATATACCACGTGCCTCAACAAAACAGCCTTAAAAATGTGAACCTTTTCCGTTCATGCTGCAAATAATTGTATGGCACATCAGCCAGTCACTCTGATGGAGCGTCTGGCCTCTCCCCTCATCATTCTTCTCACTCACTTTGCATATATGTGTGTATATATACATATATGTACACCAAACGCTGGTATCACTTCATGCATCTGATTTAGCAGGCCTCCGGCACACATAAGCTCATGCCTCAGCAAGCACGTTACAAGCGGCGGGAGGCACATGAATCTCTGTGCCCCCGTGATGCACTCCTAAAAGCCAGAAAGCTTTCAAGTCAACAGTCTGGTGGCTTGCAAACATTTGCTGTTTTCAGCCAATACCATATGCGTGTTCTCCTGCACCGCCGCCCCCTCAGCATCTCCTCACAATCCTCCTCCTTCGCTATCCAAAGCTCTAGCACATTTTGCCATCTACTTCCTTTGCTTTTTGGCGGGTGGAAGGCGTGTGAGCGCCTGTGCCACCAGAATTACCCACTCCCACCAAAGCAAACACCCTGGTTTGTTGCAAAACACAGTTGGTACGGCTGGCACGTCAAGCCGCAAAGACAACCCCTGGCACCCTCAGCCATCTGTTTGGCTTCACAAAGTGCTGCGCTGAAGCAGGCGTCTCTGCGCCTTCTGGCAGCCTCCGTCCCCTCCCACCACCTCTCCTCCTCACTACAGTGAGAGACGGAGGAAATGCCAGCGCTCGCAAATGTCTGAAATATGTTCTGTTTAACGGGGATGAAAAGCAGAATATCGAGGGGGATGAATAAGTAAGCTCAGAAGTCGTATTCAAGGGGGTGTTGCTGTTCTGCCTGTGAACAAGTCGGGATACGAAGGAAAGGGAGTGTGTCCAGAGGACCCAAGGAGACCTTTGCTGGTGCATCTGGGCCCAGCCTCCCTTGCACCGAGCGACCAGCCAGATGCTCCACTGTGGAAGCGACGGCCCTCCCACTGTGCGGTGCCACCACAGGGTATTCACAGAGGTTCTCCTTAGCCATGGTGATTCGCCGGTGCTGGCAAGGCCTGTCCTGCACAAGCTGGTCTCATCTCCTGCCACAGCCTTTTAAACTGGCCTACAGAGGGAATAAACCTTTGGAATACCGGCTAGTCAGATTGGAAGAGGCTCTCTAAGGAGCAGAGACAAAGCCCCTTTCTTAGGTGGTAGAACACCTAACATCATTTCAGGCTATGGGAAGCGGTGGTGGGAAATCAACTTTTTAAAAGTGATCCTAACCAACCAAACTCTGTTTCTATTTCTCCAACTGGACAAGTAGAAAATGGGTAGCAAAGGGAGCAAACTGGGTTGAGTTGTATTTTGTTCTGCTTTATTAGCAATGCATAGAACATTAAAACAAAAGTTGGGGGTCTGCTTTGTCCCAAGGCAAGGTAGGGAGACATTCCTACCACCCGTCGCAGAGCTCTCTATGAACTAGTGAGCCCAGGCTGAAAACCCCACTTCCAAATCTATGTCCAAATCCGTATTCATGTGAACAGAACAGCAGCCCCAGTCAAAACTTAACTCCCTCATTTAAGGGACACAACTGCTGCGCTCTCTTGACTATACACATATATGTATGAGTAACCACAACTTCCATCAGTGAAAATCTCCTGAGGGAATATGCACAAAATGAGGCCGCAGAGTAGCTGGGAGCCCATCCATCTCAGCTGGTTTGCATTTCATTGGCTTCATCTGGTCTCCCTGAATGGCGGTTCAACATATGAGCTTCAAATCAGAAAAAATGCTTTTGAGTTGTGAAGATGCAGAGATTCTACTTGGGTTACCATCACTTATAACCAGACGAACACAACACCCACTTTCTGAAGCAGGGGTCCCTGTGGGCACCTGCATAAGCATTTTAATGTTATTTATTTTTCTGTTTTTAAATATATGTACCTGGATTTGTACAGATCCATGGCAGTAAATAGGAAATGATAAAACTTTCTAAATGATACAATCATTTGTAAATGATACAACTTTCTACATAGGCTTTAAAAAAAGAGGACCAAATTTCCAAACAAGTATTTATTTGAAGATGGCATCTACTTGCTGATTGTTCAAATGTTGAGAGTATTAAGTCCTCAGCCCTATTGCGTTATAGGCCATGAGCGTTTATCCTTCCAATGCTGTAATATTTATTTAATTAATTAATTTAAAACATTTATATCCTGGCCTATATCTGATCAGGCTCTCAGTATAGCTTACATATCTAGATATAGATAGCAGTCTTTTAGCTGTTAAAAGGGTGCAGATAATCTATTTACACTGACCATTTGTTGCTATCCATGAAGCAGATAAACAATGTAAAAGATTGGATACATCACTGAATCTTAAAGAGTAGGCTAGTATTGGATATTGCCAAACATGTTTAAAAGAAGCATTAGTTGTATTGCACCACCAGCACTTAGACAAATTGGACAATTCCTTACTGAATTATTATTATTGCATTGTATTTATAATCCACCTTTCTTCCTCTTACAAGGAAGGTGGCTTACAAGGTTCTCTTATTAGAAAGACTTTGCAGTGCCCAATTGACACAAAACAGATGTTTTTGCTAAAATCCACAGAGATGGCAACTGGATGCCAACATGGCAATCCAATAATTAAGCATTTTGTGGTGGTGCCCACAACAGTTTTTCAAAATTCCAAAGGTCCCACAAATCCAAAAAGGTGGGGACCACTGTGTTAAAGGGTTGCTTCTGCTCTTTTTTAGATTTCTACATTAAAATAAAAAAGGATGCCAATTCTGACATCCAAGAAGTCTAGTTGTTTCATATCAAGCAAGACCATCTAGCTTAGAATCACAGAAAGTAGAGTTTGAAGGCCACTGGATGCAACCCCTGCTCAGTGCAGGATCCAAATTAAAGCATTCCTAACAGATGGAAGTCCAGTTGCCTCTTAAATGCATCCGGTTTGGGGGATCCCGTGATCTCTAGGTAACCGGTTCTATTGTTTCATTATCTGTCCAGGGACAGGAAATCGTTTAGGGTTGTGGGTAAATCTGACCGTTTGAGAAACGTCCTGGCCACCAACATTAAATGACGGCCTGGAAAGGCATGGCAAGGCCCAAATGACCCTGGTGAAAGACAGAGGTGGCATCTGAGTCCCAACCCACTAAACATTCCTCTGAACCTTCACCAACCGGCAGCATCTTTCTAGGATTTCAGCAGCATGACTGTTTTCCTGCTCTAGCTGGAGGTGGCAGGGACTGGATATGGGAATACTTCATGCAAGGCTGTTCTTGATAACTGAGCTGAACTCCTGTCCTCAGTCAAGCAGTCACATCCTGCTGCTTGGGACCAAAAGTGATCCAACACTCTTGGGTCTCCCTCTTCCTTCAGCCTCCAAAAACTTCCTTTGTAGAAGTGGTACAAACCACCACATTGCTCATGATCACCTCAGAGGTAATGAAAAGAAAATAAGAAGATCCTAGCTTCTAAAAAACCAAGCCACATTTTAGATTGTTCCAGTGTTCTGGCCAGAGGTTTCTGTTTGCATCTCTGAAATTGTATTATGAATAGTTTGCAGGTGGTCTGGCTTAATGTGGCCTTTCAGGTACTAAAATCTCCACACTGGTCTGCAAAAACAACAAGGCACCTGTCTGTGCAAACCCGAGCTCGTTAATCCAACCAAGCAATGCACAACTTGGTTACGCTTTGTATTTGCAACTGTCCTTTTCCCTACAGCACACAAGGTACCATGCTTTGCCTTCCGTACCTGGCTCCTTTCTAGGCACGGCCCAGACAGAGACCAGCTGGTTCCAGCCAAGTGGTGCATCGTCTGCTTTCAGACCAGGCAGCTTGTGAAACAACCAATTATGAGAACACAGGACATTTTCTGGAGATCTGCAATGCAGCTGTGAGTTATTTTGGAGACCTGCCCAAAGCGGGGGGAAACACAGCATTCATCCATGATGCTACCTCATTCCTACAGCTAAGCGAAGCATGTGAGCAAGCACAACGAGCACAGACTTTCTTGCTAGGCTGAGATACTGACCGGATTGCTGATGTTGCTGGCCGAAAGCATCGGCAGTCTGCTTTCGGTACGCCGTTTCCCATGCAGCCATAGCGCAAGAAAAGCAAAGATGCGAGGAAGCCTGGGTTCCTTCGCCATGTCCATCATCCCATGACAGTCAAAATGGCACATCTCCCGCTACCAGAATCTCCGGGAGCATGGCCTGTGGCTTTTCGGTGGACTATCAGCGGGAGCAGCCTCTGCTTCATGGAGAACTGGCCACCAGCACAGGTGGCAGAAGCCAAGGCAAGTGAAGCAGAGAGGAGCGCAGCCCTCAAAGCAAAGCAGCTTAAAAACAGAGCTTCCTGCCCTCCTTTGAAGCAAAACATTTGTGGTAAGCTAACTTGAAGCACCTCACAGCTTTCACATCCCAGTTTCACTTTTTCTGCTCGTCAGTTGTGCTTCTCTCTGAAACCTTAGGGACCTTGTTTATTGCATTTTGTTAAGAGCAGTGCTGCAGGACACGCATCTTGTTCCCTTGCACCAGAGTCGTGCACACACATCCAGGCTCACGGCAGGGAAGTGCTTTGGCCATGAAAAAAGTGCAATGAAGCAGAAGCCTCAGGCTCTTGCACTTGCTGTGACCAAAGGGTTAAGATTTTGAGAACGTTAAGTGCAAGGAAAGAAAAAGTGGAAGGTGGTCTCTGAATCTGCAATTACACAACCAATATAATTGGTTAACTGGAGGGATACGAGACAAAGCGCAGATGTTTATGCATGGGCATCCACCTGGAGCAGCGGTCTAAGAAAGCCAGTGTGGGACAGCAGTGCAAGCGAGTGCGAAACTAGGCTGGGGAGAGGCAGGTTCCACTCCTAATGCTACTGTGATGTTCACTAGGTGACCCTGGATCACTCACTGGGCACATCTGCACATCACAGAAGACTCAGCATGGTTTAGTGAACATGATGGATCTTGATGAGATGAATCCATGAGGGGCTATGTTGCCTGCAGTTTTTGTTTTTGTTTTTTTTAATAAAAAGCAACTTCCATCCAAACCTTACCATCAATTTGAGAGTTAAACTACCCTTGCACAGTCCTATGACAAACTGACAGCTTCCTGTTAGGGCTTCCTTACTTTGCAGCCTCCTGTTTGGGCAACCTGTTAAGCAAGCTCTCTGGGCAACCAGAGGGATGTTCACTTACTCCAACCAGGGCAAGCCCCCCTCCCCTCACCGCACTGGTATCCTCCAACAGAACGCATCACAGTACTCAGGGCTAAGAAAGAGCAAAAACATTCCACCAATGCACTTTTATCTCCTATAGCAAGGTCCAAGTCAGCCTTCCCAGACCTCACTGGCTTCTCCAAAATGAAAACGTTTCTGCACTACTGCTATAATATACACTGGGTCAGCCATATTGAAAACCCAAATACTTTATGGACAGAATAGGTTGCTTGAAATGAGTGGTTTAGCATTAGAGAAGCAGACGGATCTGTCAGGACCGCTCTGCCTTCCCAGAAACCAGGAACCAGGCCTTCCCTCGAAGGTGGTCCATGCTGAGTCCCGTACTGTCAACACAGAGGAGCAGTGGCTCTCCAGAGCTCCAGGCACTTTTCTGCCCTACCTGTGGACACTGAGGATCGAGCCTGTGACTTCCGCATGTAGCACATGTTGTCCGGAGCTTTGCCCACAGGCTCCAAAATGCCAGACAGTCTCTTTGCAATGGAGATCTTTACCGGCATTTTGCAGCTACAAGACAAAGTAACTCTAAAAGCCCTCTGGTAAGCTGGAAGATAAGCCTCTGCTCGTGTCAAGAGTGTCGAACCCAAACTGAGAACTTCTCCCTGCAAATCCTTCCCTTTCAATAACTCTGGGGACTCTACTCTCAGGGTGGCTCCTGCTGGTGGAAGACCTCTAACTGGGCAGCTTGTTCCGCCTGACGCCAGATCACGAGGTCTGGCACTGGGCAAGCAGTGACTTCCCTCCAACCCTTCTTGGACCCCTCCTGCCTCTTCCAAAACATCTCTGCTCTCCTGGTCAGCCTGGGAACCTGCAGGCAGTGACCCTGAATGTCACGTGCAGGTGCTCTGACGAGATTCCCAGGTGTGCGTGAGAAATGGCCTATTCTGGTGGGACTGATAGCTCAGACTCTGAGGATGATATGGAGCTGCCCGAACCAGACGAGGCTCAGAGCAAACCCTCTGATAACGGAATTGTTGTTGAAACAGAGCGGCTGCACCTGCAGACTTCCCCGCAGCGCCAGTCCAAGCCCGCTCTGGATGAAAGCAGCTCAAGGACAGCTGGGGGGCCCAGTCTCCCTTCCGCCTGTGGGAATGGAGCAGCCGAGGATGGGAGGAGGGAGATATGGAACTGCGTAGCCCCTCAGATGGAGAATGCCAGCTTCCTGAAGATCTGAACCCCAGCGCCTGCTGGCACAGCCGCAGGCTGGACCAAGTAGGGGCTCAGAGCGCAGAACACAGGGCGCCCCGGCTTCACAGCACCCCTTCTTCCAGACACAGGCCCCAAAGGGTTCATCAGCAAAGCCTTGGGTGAAGGGAGGGCCAACACTTCTCCTTGTGTATGCGCAGAGTCATGTGAATGCTTAGTTTTCTTGGTAGAATAAAGACTCTAACAAGACGTGCTAAAGAGACTGCCTTGCTTGGGAGGGGACGCCTAGCTCAAGACACGGGGGGTGCTTCCAAGGCCTCCTCTCCCTCTTCCCGAGTTTTGACAACTTCCACTGCTGAGTCTTCGGCAGAATGTAGGTCATGGAGACTGTGCGCTGCCTGCCAGGAATGGCAGTTGGGCTCCCATGCGCTCTGCCACAGAGCGACAGCCCCCTCTGCTCCTTTCCTCCGTAAAGGCCAGCGAAACCTTCCCCAGTATCTTTTCCAGACTTTAAAAGATTGCTAGCACACTCTCCTCCTCAACAAACAAAAACCTTTGGCTTCTCTTCAACCTCACCCCCACATTCTTTTCTCTCTTCTAGCAATCAAAAAGATACCAAGACAGAAATACAATCTGCTAGTGTCTTCCTTGAACTGCAGACCCAGGAGCTGCCAGTGCAAAAGAGAGGAAGGCCACAATTCATAAACATCAGCTTCAGTCAACAGAAGTTGGTGTTCTATGCCAAAACATTGTGCACTTTAAAACTATTTTTTCTGCAAATGTATGAGCTGAATTTGATACTATTGGTCATTTTTCCATCTAGAAGTTGTCCTCTGATGACAACCTTGCTCATATTGTTACCCAGAGCTGCTTTTTTTTTCCTTTTTCTTTAGACAACTACTTCTATCTGCTGCTGGTCTGCCATGATGGAACACACAGCAACAATTCCTTCTTTCTTGGATCAGAGTGGCCCCTACCAGCACTGGACAGTATGTTCTTCATGGAAATTATGCGCCTACACCACCTTTCACAGACAGATATCAAAGGGGATGGGACATGGGACTGGACTATGAGCCTAAGAGAAGCAACACGTTCCTCCTCTCGTATTAGACTAGCACTCAAAAGCCACCAATGAAATTGGCTGACAGCCCGCTGCTATCCTAGGAGAACATTAGGAGAGACTTTGCTAAGAAAGTTCATGTATGGTCAGTAAGAAGAGTTCCTTAACAGTACCTTGGTCAAATGCTGCAACCGTGCAACCAAACAATGAACGCTGAATACTTTAAAAAGGCAAAATCACTTTAGGTTAATTGGATCAAGTCACTAGCCCATACTTCGGAGCTGATATAATCCAGAGGATCCTAACCGCTTTTAAAAATGCTTTTAAGACTGCAAAAATGTTTGAAAAATGGAACATTTCTAATACACCAAAAGAAGTTAAAGAACATAACTTCTCACAAGGGTTTAAGCACATCTGGAGGAATTTCAAGACAAAGCTGTCGAAGAGGCACCACTGTTTTCTGACCTGCTCATTCAAGAAACCAGAATTGTGTCTTCTTCATAACATCTGCTGACTAATGGATATTAGCTGTAGCACTCCAGCGACTCGATGCTGAAAAGGAATGTCATCCGCCTTTGCTTTTGGGGATAAGGCATGTTGGGAACTTGTTAGAAGGCAGCTAATGCCTCCTTTCAAACTAACACCAATTGCCCACACTTCCAAGCCTGGCTTCAGACAATCAACCACAAAACACAGTGCGCGTCTTCAGGGGGAATTATATGCCGTTTACATTAACTCGACTCAAATCTGGTAGCAAAATAATCTGCCCATTGCTCAGCATCCTTTCCAGGTGTAAAAGTGAGAGTATGAAAGAAGGAATCTCACTGAGCAGAAATGTTACCTTATTTGCAGCATTCGCCGTGTCTCTCTCTATCCAAGTGGGCTCCCGTTTTGCCTGCAGAAGAAACAAAAATTAGAGTCTGAGCAGACAATCTATGAACGCCGAAGCCAATTGTTAATCTGAAGCAAGAGTATCATTTTCCACCAGCCCCTAACTGCCAGCATCAGAAGCACTGTGCATCTCCTGTTCTCAGAATTGGCTGCTTGGCACAGAATGAAGTCTCTATTATGTCTTAGTTACCCATTTTCCCAAATGCAATTTCTAGTCCTCACTGATGCCAGCTAAAAGTGGAAAGGAAGTGAATTTCTCTCTGCCATCTTTTCCTTAACAGACGTCTTGTTTGACAATCCTGGAAGCAGAAGGAAAGCAGCCATGTGGTTCTATGTATGCCACAAGCAGGACTGCAAATTGTGGGGCTGCTGTGGCAACAACAACCACAACCTTAGGAAGAGATGTCCAGGCAACCACAACTCCATTTGGGTACTTTGTCATGAGCCCACTTCTTTGCCATAGCATTGCTACACAGTCCACTCAGCTGGTCTCCTCTCCATTTCATCATTGCCCAGGGCTTGCAGCAGCCTCTTCAATGCCTTTGCAAGAATTCCCATAGGATGCAACCCAAACAATTACAGACCTAAGAAAAGCAAGAATCCTGGGATTCTGTTCTCCCCTTGCCACTGCTCCACGAGGCGGATCTCTGTCCAGTCTAAGACTGATTCAGGATATCTGCGTTTTGTGAAGCTGCAAGTATCAACATTTGTTTGGGGAGATGCTTGTACGCCCAGCCACAGGACAGATGCGTAATATATGCCCGCCCAGACAAGACACATTTGGCAACCTTATTCCCCATCCTGAGAAAAAGGAAGCTTGCATTATTCTCTTGGCTCCAATTCTACCTGCCCACGACTTACAACAGATAAGTAGAAATGCTGAATAAGGTTTTGCTCTTTGCAGAAAGAGCTTGTAAGGTTCACCTATAAGAAATGATACAAAGTCCTGTTCATGCGTAATCCTCTTCCGGAAAGTGAGCTAAAGAAGTTTATTC